ATTTGTTGTCCGAGATGGTTAGTTGGGTTTTTTTTTTATTTCGGACCAAACAGGCAAATTCGATGTAGATTTGATAGAATGGCATGAATTTGCAATTTAACTTGGCATACAGTGAAAAATTGCCTGGGTTAATTTTACCCAAGAAGAGTGAAAACTGCAACTACCCAAAATTGGGTTGGAATTTCTGCTAAATATTCAACCAAAACTTGTGGTCATACAAGGTGGTCTTCCAGTCTCTAAATTCCAAAGAGTGAAAATTCACTCCATTCGAGTGAAAATTCACTCCCACAGTCGGAAACTAGTGACTAGGCGTTAAGAGCGAAATTTCTTCAATCGTAAAGTCTAGCTTCGACTGAAGTGGTTCATTTTTTAGACTATTTCAATCGAAAAGGACAGTGATTTTCACTTTAAAACGTCTGTAGTCCCTAATTTCACTCTTTTGAATTTAGAGAGTTGTGACTTCAACTTTTGGAACGACCCAATTTTGGGTAGTTGCAGTGTCAACCTTTCTTGTATACTTGACCTACGCAATTTTTTTCAGTGTGTGTATATCGACAAACGCCATTTGTATTATCGATAAGGAAATCAGTATCTATTCATAGAAATGTATGCATACTTATTCCATTGCACTTTCGTTTCAAATGGATACTTCCAGTATGTTGGCGAGTGGGGGATGGGGGATGACCAACAAACATAAATTTTTCTGGCCATGAACATTCGAAAAGGGTTAGGGTGGCGGGGGGGGGGGGGGGGGGGCTGGACATTATCTTCCTATGGGGCGCTATTCAAATCATGGTAATTATGGCAGACAATAGCGACAGATAAACGACCACTCTCGAAAAACACGGTTTTAGTGAAAAATACTCAACTATCGTGGACAAATTCAGCTCATGTTCAACCACCAATCATGGTAACTCATAGGACTGTGCTTTTCTCAGGTTTGCACATTTCGAGTGAGGGGGCAAGGGGGTGCGGTTGGCGGGGGGGTGGGGGGAGGGCTGCGCCCCTCCCATCCCCCACACCCCCACCCCCGTAGCTACGCTGCTGTTTTGTAATAGTTAGGTAGGCCACTTTTGAGAAAATGCAAATAATCCTAAATGCTTTTCAATTTTGGAAAGTCTTATTTCACATGACATATTTGTTTTAGCTCCCTGGATTCTGCAGTGGATACCGAGGTTTCTGTACCTACGAATACAACCCAGTATGCGGAAGTGACGGGGACACCTATGCTACGGAGTGCTCCTTGTGTGCTGCGATCGCAAACGGGGCCGCATCCAGCAGTGTTACATATGTCCCCGGAGAGTGCACAAGATAGAAAGTGTGACCTCATCAAATCCGATCGAATCACCTCCTACTATAGCAAAAACCGACTTAGATTTCAATACAACTAAACTTGAGAAAAATGCACACTGAATAATAGAAGGGTTTCATATTAAGTACAACGATCGATCGATATCTCTAAAAACAACTTAGTCAAAATATTGACTGGTGTTCCTAGTTATTGAAAACTGACTAGGAATTTAGTTAAACATGCAAAGTTTCATACTAGAAAAGGTAGTTGAATTTGACTCCAATTTTAGTTAATTGCATAACTACTTTTCAAAACTGACTGGAAAAATCTAGTCAGATTGACTGTTTTTCAGCACGCAGCTGACCCTGAATGGTTCATATTTAACTGATTTCTAGTCACATCTGACTATTTTTTGGGGTAATCAATTTATATAAACTCTTGCAATGTAGCTTACATTGAGCTTACTTATGTGACACATCTACACATTTTCGTAGACTGGTTCCCGTCTCACAACCATGTACCGTCACAGAGACGGATGCTAGTCTCTGTTTGTTGTCGTGTAATACTTACAGGTCTATTAGCTTTGTGTTGGTGGAAAATGAACCGCATTCAATACTGCTGATGTCGTTACGGTGAATGTTCCTTCGAAAAAAAGAGAAATGATTTGATGTTTAGCTTATTCAGTTTTAGAAAACTGTTAACAATTTTTCCTGTCATCATTTGAAACTCTAGACCATAGCTAGCAGTTTTATTTAAGTGAAAGAAACTTGCATGTACCGACTAGACCAAAATGCTAAACGCTGCTAAGAAGACGAACAGCTAACTTGCAGAGTTTATTTTATTCAAAAGTCAATAATCCCTAACGATCCTTCCTGCATATTTTACAATTCTACAGGGTGATCTAAAATAAAAAAGGACACCCAAATGGCAGGGCCATTTTGGTTATGAAGATCAGCATGTAGCACTTCGAAAATGTTGGATATAAAAGCCTAATTATTAATAAGCTTTCTTTCAGTACAAGAATCATTTAAATCACTTATGTGCTTTTGATGTTACGGAATTTTAAACACAACTACCGTTTCAAAGATCTGTCCACGGATCACACAAAATAGTAAGTGTTCTTTTAGCAAAACGAAAAAAATTCATAGAGGGATGTGTGTCAATTGTTTTAGTTTTGCTGATAGAACACAAGCCCGAGGCTTTTTTTGGTGATCCATGGGCAAATCTTAAAAACAGTGTCTGTGTTTAAAATTCGGTAACTTGACAAGTACATGAGAAATTTGAATGATTCTTGCACTAAAAGAAAGCTTATTAATTGAGCTTTTACATCCTAGATTTTGAAAGAGCTACATGAAGAACTTCGTAACAAAAATGCTCCTGACATTTGGGTTTCCTTTTTTTTTACTCACCCTGTATTGATACGATCTGTTTCACAAAGGTCATTTTGGTGAATGTTTTTTTAAATTATCAGTGGAGTTGTTTGCATGCCTGAAATACCTCTTGTTATAGTGATGATACTAATCGGTTTTGTAGTCACGTCTTTTTCCCCGAGTCCTCAAATATATTGCAATAAGGTGGAACAACAGGAACGAAGCCGGTAAAAAGCACCGACGCTTTGTTGGTGAACGATTTGAATTGAAAGAAATATCAGTTTCTGGAAACATAATCTTGCAGCCAGACTTCGAATCGTGTCTGAGTCCGAATTCTTTTACAAATTCTCGGAAATTTTCAGTAAACCTTGCGTCCAGATTCTCAGTCTCTGACCCATAATCAACGACCCATAATCGGAATCGCCTAGTGTCTAGTTTTTCAGCTTTAACTGTTGCTGTATACCAGCTTATATTTCATGCATACGTCGCACAGTTTACCCATTCCTATTGGTCGAGAGCCCGATATTTTCAGAGGTCCTTACCATTGTATAACCATGTATACCTATAGATGGGTGCTTTGTTGATCGAAATCGTTGAAAGTGAATAATGTTTGACTTGTTTTGACTTTTGGACCGAAAAAGTTTAGTTCCTTTTTTTTTTAACCTAAAATGACTTATGAATGGGAACAAATATGTGCTTGGTCGGTATTAAACACTCTGTTTAAGACTTGTTGGAGCCTTTGACTCGGGTAATTATCAGCATTCCAGACTCCAACCGGTCTTAAACAGAGTGTTTAACACCTCCCAAGCACACATTTATTCCCTTATTATAGCTGACTTATCTGGCTCAGAAAGTGTCTGACTACAAAACTGATAGTTTGAATGGAGAAGTAGGTGACGTGTAAGGTGGTGACGGAGTAAGGTGGTGGTTGGGATAACGACAAAAAGAATATTACTTGGAATTTTCTACGTGGTATATCAAAAGTTGCAATGGAGGAATAAAGCTTACAAGGATCGGAGATCTCTGAGTGGTCTGAAGAGTTCTGCTGGTATCGACGATAATCTGTTTTATGAGATGTGCCTGCGAAATATGAAGATGTTGAGTTGTATAGCAATATAATTCTTGCCGAAGAACAATACGTAGTAAAACTCTGAACCCCTAGGATGGCTTTACACTTTGATTATTGTACAAATAATGAATGTTTATAAGGGCAATGGTTAGAATAACTTGGTGGAATGTTCAATTCCAGGTGGCAAAGAATGGAACATTCCATCTGTCGCCGAATGAAATTATTCTTGCCATTGCACGAATGTAAAACATTCATTATTTGAATAGTCACAACACCTGAATAAATCCCCGTCATCTGATTGGTCAGAGCCACCAATAGTGTTACCGGGCAATCGAACTACTATTTACCTTGGAATAGAACTTCTATTTTTACGGTGCGGCTGGGACGTTGGTTTGGACGAATAATTCAATGACACGTGATCAACGACCCACCAATCCGATGACGGGGATTTATTTAGGCGTTGTATAAAAATAATGACCTATTTAAACAAAGCAAATACAACACAATATACGAACAAACATTGAATTTTTAAAACGATTGTTTTAAACATCTCACTCACATGAAGTAAATTCCGGACGAATCTTTGAATACCCCCATCTCGATTTCAGCCAGTCGATTGCCACGTATATCGTTGGAAAAAAATAAATAAATAAATAAACAAACAAATAAACAACGTCGCAATAAAGGCAGGTACTGCTTACATGCACTACCGTCTTTTAAAAAAAATATGGTTAAAGTGGTCAGAAATTGCCTCAGATCGCACCACAGAGCTTCTAGAATCCAAAAAAACTTTCGGGGCCCTTAAGCGGGCCCCGAACCCCACGCGGTAATTTTTGGGACCCACTTTTTGGGGGGAAAATGTTTTTGGCCCCTCCCCCCAATTGTGTTCTCGATCCGCCCTTGTTTGGAAGTGTCAGTCTGCCATCTAGACTACCGCATCGAAGACCAATAGTACACTGTGATGTTGGTTTTCACATTTTAACTACTGGAGGAAAGCCAGAAGTTTCCTCGGCCGTAGAGGGCGGTTTGATCAACATAATTTCCCCCCTTAAAAATATTTCGAAAAAGGGGACAAGGATGGAGTCTTTAAATAGCGGAAAATTACAAAATACCCATATCAATAACATAACAGACAAATATTTGAAATGAAATCTCAATTCGTCATTTTTTTTCTCGATATTTTCTTGCTCTCTTACGGCGTCATAGTCTTTAAATTAAAAGAGGACAAGGTTGTTATTTGTCAATTATCATGCTTACAGATATTCCAAGCTGTGCAGGCCGAACAAACTTCCTCTGACAAGCCTTGTGAGGATGTTGTACGATAAATCTCTTTGAATGGGGACGGGAATAAGAAAACGAAAATATATAGGTTAATAATTGAATATTTCTTACGGGAGCTATTAAAAGAGTGTGCCACTTCGATAAAATTATGCGCCTATCAAATGTTTCCCCCCTCCCCCCACTTCGCTGCCCCAGGTCCGATGTTGGGATTTGGTCACGTTTTTCATGCCCCAGGATGGCGCTTTCGGGAACTGATATGACATTGTTACCATTGGCGTACTACATGGAAAGGCAATCACTAGTGCACCCCAAGTATGTATGTATATCGGGGCATGGTCGGGGATTGTCCCTTAAGTTTTGCCCGAGGGGTGGGGATTTTGTCACTTCAAAAGTGACAATCCCCACGTCTACGGTGGGGCAGCCCAGGGAGAGGGGTGGGGGAAACAATTGAAAGGCGCATTACACTTAACAGAGCAATTTCTAAACAGATATCATATGTGGATATTTAATGCCTTTTTAACTCCGATTTCTAACAACCCCCCAAAACAAAACCTTAAAAAAAAATCATCGGTTTGATAACATCAACATCATGTTCAAGTCGCAACTTCTCCATCTTAGACACTATGGGCTTATTCTAGGCCTTGATCTCGGGCATGCACCAGAATTATTTAGAAGCCTTTTTGATATGTAAAAACAAAATAAAAAAATAAAAATTGAAAACGTTAATTGGCGTGATATCATTGGCCTCGAGTCAGAACACGCAGCTACACTGAACCGAAGTCCACGTTCCGAAAAATCCCAAGAAGCTGAACTGGGGACGCAGCCAATATTTGGAAAACGAAAATGATAATTCTCGGTATTAAAAAAAAAAAACTCAGTCCGCCATTATGCAGAGCAATAACGCAGGGAGTTCCAGTAAAAACGTGCTTGCACACTTTCTCTTCAGAATAAAAGATATGACAAAAATGGTCTCCCTCGATCGCGGTGTGTCATGTGTTAGTCTCGTAGATGATTTTAAAAATCTTGTCTTTGTTTGAGTTAAACAAATGGGATTACAAAGAAAGGTATTGTTATAATCAAACTCACAGAGTGACTAAACGATTTTGTGTTGCAAACATTCTCGGCGGCACATCTTCCAAATCACAGGCAATCATTCGTCTGCAAAAAAAAAAAAATCAAGTTACCTTTTTGTTTATTGTTAAAAGGCTTGTATTTCGCATCGATTAGTCTCCGGTTTCTCTTTACACAAATCATTTGCACCATAATTACTTTACTTCAGTATCGCAGGAGTTATCGTTGGTAGCATATACTCACAATGTTTGTAAATCTGTCAGCGATTCAAAAGTCCCTTCCTCGACGTTTTGCAGTTTGTTCCTGGATAGTAACCTAAAGAAATCGACATTAAAAACAGAAACGGATGTTATGATTAACTGGAATCATCAAACACAGACAGAACATCACTTCGTTTGAATAGGCCCGTGTTTCATTAGAGAACCATTTTAACAAACTATTTTGAGAAGCAGAGATACTTTTGTGTTCGACTTCGACAAACAATAATGACCGGATGTAAGATTCATAAACTGACTTGCGGCGCATCATAAGCATGCACAAAGTAGTTTGAAAACGTCCAATGACATTTAGTATGGGCCTTATGCACGAGTCGGCCATATTGAACTGAAAGTGAGGTAAAATCTTAATTTTTGGAACTTGCGAAGAGAAATGACAGCAAATTAATTACTAATTAAATCCAGTCTGCTTGAATGAATAATTTAAAATTTGTAATTAAACATTCCCTGGTGTTTAGCGCCAGATAAAACAAAAATGACAGTAAAATTAGGCTGCATTATACCTGCATAAATACTCTGGCGCCACCACATTCAACAGTTAAGAGTTAATGAAATACATTCAGTGAACTCGACAAAAATGGCCAACTCGTACATAAGGCCCATTGGCACTGTTTCTTACAAGGCTAATAAGAAAGACGAAAAAGGACGTAACATTCAAAAATGATTCCATGTTTGTCAATGTTCAGACGGCAGCTCGCAGTTACAGCATTTGGACACAATTATGAAAATGGCGTTCATTGGTCGTCTCAGGTCAAAGTGCAAAGTTAACAAAACAATGCATTCACTAAAACAGAGTCCCCGATGGCGTTTTTGACTGACACCGAAGAGCACAAAGAAATCAGATAAACCTTTTACCGAAGTGGGATAATGATGCCATGAATTCATAGGAGACGGTTTACCGACTCAGGTTTCTGCGATTCTAAGATAGAGGCGCTGTGTCCAAAATGCGAGGAGGAGTTAGCGTGTCACCACCGGAAAGAATCCATGCCGATCGCCGCAACCAAATCGGCACAACAGCCCCTAACAATGGCGGACTGTCACACGCTGGACTGATTGAGTGTATAAGATTTCATAGTGTTTGTGGATCATGAAAGCTCGGGCTACGGGAAATTGTTGGACAGCGTATTACATTTCATAAGCTTAGCACCGGTGTCACGGTCTCACTTCTCCGGCGTGCTAGCTTCTCCGAAAGGGAAATTTGGCTTCAACACGCATGCACAAAATTGCGCAGTAGTGTACATTTTCGTCAACTATATTAGCGTGCTGAGTGATTCGGGGTTGTACTGGTGCACGTAAGATCTTAGGATATTTGTATGCATGGTTACAGGGTACCAGTCCAATCCAGAATTTTCGTGACGCGCACATGCAACTCCCAATAACCAAAAAGACTTGAAATGCACATTTATTTTAGGCCGTGGCTGCAAAAATAAAGACAAAATGGACCACGAACGAGCAAGGAACACGGACCAAGAAGTTCGTTCTTAATTATTCCTCCATGAACACACACACATGCATGACGCTGGGAACACAAACCAGAATGCTGCGGACCATGGAATTACTTGGCCCCACAGCGTAATATTTTTATTCCTAGGAGGGTTAGGGGCAATGTCATGAATAATTCATGTTTATCCATGAGAACGGACAATGACATCAACAGCATTGTTGTTAGTTACTCAACTAGTTACAATACATTAAAGCATTTTAAAGAACGGTTGTCGTCGAGCTACCACACAGTAGCCTAGTGGATAGCGAGATGAGCTATGGATACAAAGATCCCTGGTTCGAATCCACGTCGTCGCTGCTCATTTTCATCAGCTATTTTTCTTCTCCAAATTTATCACTGAGGTAATTTTAAATTAAGGGGGGAAAAAACGAGAACCTAAGTGTTGCAATGATTCAAAGGAAAAACTGAATTATTCATGACATTGCCCCTAACCCTCCTAGGAATAAAAATTACGCGGCCCCACAGGAAGTGTTACATAATACATTCTTGGGTGTCCCTCAATGGTTATCAATGGGCTTGGTAGACTTCAGAATACAGCTCGAGGAAAAGTAAGCATAGCGGACATAGGGGCATGAATCGTGCTTATGTGACGTACACTGTAACATGCTCAGTTATCCGTAAAATCCACCTGGAGAAGCTAGCACGCCGGAGAAGTGAGACCGTGACACCGGGCCGTTCCATCAATAGCCAGTCCAGACATATCTTGAAAATGTGCTGAGAATGCGCTTGGCAGTTTTTAATTGTCGAGTTTTGGTGTGCTTCTGAATCGATGCATACCAAAATTGTAAAAATCAAGTATTAAAACAAAAACAACATGTTCAGTATAACCGATGGCATGTACTCACAGTTGACGCAAATGTGTCAAGTGTTCCATGTCTTTTTTCGCCAGGCTGGTAATTTTGTTATCTGACAAATCGCTGGAAAGAAACAAAACAAAAACAAAAAACACAGTGATACGAAGTACGATTAGGATATGCTTTCAACGCTTTTACTTTTCATGACACGAACTTTACAGCGTATATCCAGCTTTTGTAAATTGTGTATTGGTGTATGACTTGGTACAAATTTGAAAATTTAAAAGCACAAAACGAAAACAAAATATATAAAATCTTTGTACATTTCTGAAAAATATATTGGTAAGGTAAAGAACATTTTGGTGTCTACAATAAGCGAGTTCGGTATTCCAAAATAGTCTGGTGCACAGCAAGATTGAACGATTTCTTTTCGGGATGGCAGATAAATGCAAAGGAGGCTATGAGGGACGTGGTAACCGAATATCTATATTCTGTGCAATTTTTCGTGCGAAGAAGAGATGGAACTGTCGTTCGCACAAAAGTTTGGACACACAAGACACCTAAAAACACTTCGCTGTCCAAACTCTTTTTGCAAAAATGTTACTTCAGAACACGATGATCTCTTCAACTTTGCTGGTACCCCGCTATGCTTTTGCACGCGTACGATGACATGTTTAAAGAAAAATCGGCAAATCTGGATGTGCACATGAGCAGTTGGAACACCGAACTCACTTATTACGGATACAAATCTAAACATCGACACCATTTATAAATGCAAAATCGCATTTTTAACACTGCTAGAATTTAGTGGGCACATTCGGCAATTTTTGCATTGTAACTGGAGGACTACACAAAAAGGGAAAGTCACCAAAAGTGCGTATCCGGTGTCCGGCTGAATAACATGTGACTTTGAAGACAGAGCTTCGCTGGTAATCAGAGATGATATGAAGAGGACACTGGATTGAATGCTTCATACAAAAGTGGTATTCAGTATCTCTCTATTTGTGCAAATAAGTGCAAAGGCTATATTGAGCTGCTTAGTTTCTGGCTTTGGACAGACATGACTGATAACAAAAAAGCCTAAATCACGCCCAGATTAATCAACGTTACAGTGGGAACGCAGCCGGTCTTGCGTTCTAGACGGCGCCCTTTTGATTATTTTTGGAGTCGGTGAGAGTATAACATTTAATGGCTTTTTTAAATCGGGATTTTTTTTGGACTGAGGTTTAAGTTACCGTTTAAAGGGAAAATACAACATTTGCAAACTTCAAAAAATAAAACTACCAAATTATTTTGAAATACCTTGCTGGACTGTTAGTGAATGACAGTGTAAAGCATCCTGTAAAATCTTGGCACCTGGTATACTGTCATTTTCAAGAAAAGTGGTATTTTTGTATCAATTTCCAACGCTGATCGGCCGATCAGCGTTGGAAAAAAACTGGCTTTTTTCAAATACTGGCCCCAGTTGACCATCGCACTTGTTTGCAATCGATTACACACCTATGAACGGGTACAAGCCAGCTAGACTGGTTTCCTGACCTTACAATTCCCCAATATATGTAAACTGCTCTGTTTCTTCTTAAATGGAGTCAGGGAACCAGACTACAGGAAAATGATTGTTTTTCTTGGTTTTTATAGCATTTTCGAACCCAAAACCTCAAAAAAAGTCAGTGTAACTATATTTGCTATATATTTCCAACCCCCCAATTCCATCCATTTCTGAAAATTACAGCAAAAGCAAATGATGTATGTTCTCTTTAATCAGAAATAATGGGGTTAGCTGTAACCAGTGGCGCAACTACGGGTGTGTGTGTGGGGGGGGGGGGGGCAGCGGAGGTCCATGCCCCCGGGTTCCCCCACCCCTTACCCCGCCCCAACCCCAATTTTAGATCTTGAATTGCACAAAAACAATTAAACATGTATCAGTGCCTTCAGTGACCCCCTCCAAATATTCCGCTGCACCCCAGGTGCCCCCAAGAGTTATGCCGCTGGATGTAACAACGCTGACAGCCCGATCGTCCGAAGGTTCCATTGTCCGAAGGTTCTTTAGTCCGAAGGGTCATTAGTCCGAATGTTCGTTCGTCCGAAGGTTCATTGGTCCGAAGGTTCGATTGTCCGAAGGTTCAATAGTCCGGAGAGCCCATTAGTCCAAAAATAGAAAATCAGAAGGCTCGATAGTCCGATAGGATGCGATAGTCAAACGATAACGTTCGATAGTCCAAATAGGTGATAAGATTCGATAGTCCGAACTGCAGTACGGTTTCGTCAGTGTGACACTTCGGACTATCGGAACTTAGCCTACCTCATTCTCTATTCGGACTATTGGACCTTTTTGTCGATTCGGGCTATCGGACCTTACAGTATATTCGGACTATCGAACCTTATTGTCAGTTCGGAATATTAAATGAACCTTCGGACTATTAAACCTTATTTTTGTTTCGGACTATCGAACCTTCGGACTAATTAACTTCCGGATTATTGCATCAAATTTTCGGATTTACAAACCTTATTTCATTTTCGGACTAACAAACCCCCTTTTATGGGAAATGTGTGCATTCGGACTATCGAACCTTCGGACTAAAAAACCTTCGGACTATCGAACCTTCGGACTATCGAACCTTCGGACTATCGGGCAGACCCTGTAACTACGATGACCAACTTAATAGACCATTATCATGTTGCGGCCATCTTGATTTTTTGCCATTCAAATCAATGTAACCAAAACGAGGCTGGAAGGAAAAATAAGCTGGTTCCTTTTTGCACAAAAAAATTATCATTCAGTACTGTTATGGATACAGGGAACGTGACTGAAATGGTGGCAGCATGGTGAAGGTCTAGTACCACAAATCCCTTCCTCACAATGATTCTGGAGTACATTGCTAATTGTAAACAAGAAATGATCGCATGAGAAGTAATAAACAACAGTGTGCTGGTGTAAAAATACGTCAAATGAAATCAAAAGATATTGAATAAGGAGCCGACATTAAAGAGCGATTCAATGAGAAGAAACTCTGATGATGCTGACAAGAATCAAAACTCGAATTTGCTTCTGATTAAATACAAACGATTCAGACTTACAGTGAAATGGTGTTGTTAGGAAGATTTCTTGGGAATTCGGTGAGTTGTCTGGCACTGCAGTCCAGCCTGACACCGACGACTACGACTTGCACTCCCAACCCGTAGGGTATCCCGTCAGTAACATTGGTCCCCGACTCAACGCCATCGACACCTGCGCCCATAGACGCATCTCCAGTCGCATTGAATAGTGACGCTAAGGACGGCAAGTCCGTCCTTGTCTCTTCCATCTCGACAAAGCAGTCACAGGATTCGGGGAATGTGCCTTTCTCTTTTTTATTTAGACGGGATAAAAAGAAGTTGCACAAACCATTAGATTTCTTGGTTTTTAATCCGTAAATGCGCTGCGGAATCATTAATTTGAAGAAAGTAGGCCTACTGAAATTCCTATTACTATTAGTATCTCAAGGGGCCACTAAAACAGATAGGTCTAATTGCGTTTGCCTAGCAGATTGCAGGCTGAATGGCGCCTGACATGCCTCAATGATTAAAATGATGTGTAGTGGCCGAAATTACAGGGGGGAGCCTATGAGCGGCCTATTTTGACTCAAAAATCAAGAAGGAATACCTAGTGCAAGAACATGTAGCAGCTTTTGATCTTTACAATTTAAACTTTGATGGGGGAATACGCCAAGCCATTCAAAATGGAGTCAGGTTGGCGGAGCGGTACTTTCCTCGCCTTCCACCGCTGTGACCCTGGTTCGATCCCGCCTGGTCTATATAATTGAGTTTTCAGTCCCTGCCTGATTCCGTGGGTTTTCCTCTGGGGTTTCCCCCCACATCTAAAACTGTATAATTTCTTCACATTGTCTTCTCTTTACTGGGCCCCATGGGAGACCGTGGATTCCACTGATGGGCTACCCAGTTAAAATTAAGAAATACATAATATAACATAAATAAAATACCACATGGAATTTCTCTTCGGACCTCTTCGTCTTCAGCTTTATTCCCAAAGAAGTCATCCCACATCTTGGCCAAATTCCAGTCTCCTAAGGCAGTGGAAACAAAAAATAATAAAAAGACCTCTCATGGAAACAAAAACCGAAATGTATGTCCTTAAATGAAGAGCACGTGTACTGCACCGAGCTTTAACAAAATATTGCTGTAAAAGACTTTAATCACGAGTCGGCCATATTCAATTAAAAGCGAGGTAAACTCTTCATTTTTGGAACTTGCGAGTAAAATGGAAAGCAGTGAAATACAAATTCATTACAAATTAATACCAGTCTGCTCTGATGGATATTTTAAAATTTGTGATTAAACAAACCCTAATGTTTTAAGCCAGGTTTATAAAAAAAGAAAGAATTGAAAGTGAGGCTTGATGAAACGCACTCCAATCATAAAATAGTCTGGTACAATCCCATTCAACAGTTTACAATATATAAAATAGGTTCAGGGAACACGATCGAAAATGGCTTCCGTGTGCATAAGGTCTGTTGAGATGTTTCGTGTTATGTACACGCAATTTTTCAGTGGGGGGCGCTGGGGGCTGGAACATTTCATGGGGGGGGGGGGGCGTCATGTAGATCAATGATAATTTTTTTAGAAACTCAAAATCTCAGTGGGGGGAAGACTGGGGGGGGGGGGGGCGACAAGGTTTCATGGGGGGCTGTCCCCCCCCCCCCCCCCCCCAACGCCCCCCGTGGCTATGCCACTGTTTGGGAGGCATGATGATGAAAACTTTCCCAGTTGGCCTTGCTGTACAAGGGCACTTTCTGAGGAAGTTGTTTTCTGTGCGCTGGTTTTATATCTAATTCTGTGTAGACTATGTTGTGATCGCTGATACCGGGGATGACCTGAGTCTTGTTGATATGATTAGGGCGATTTGTAATGATCTGGTCGAGAATATTTCCAAGACGAGTCGGTTCTTCAACCATCTCAGCCAAGCCGTTGTCATCTAGTATCGCACCAAACTTTCTGTGAACTGATGGATGATGAACATTCGTTTTGAGAGATTTAGTTGACCAATCCCAGCCAGGGAGATTGAAGTCCCCACCGAGGATAACTGTATTGTTACCATGTCCAGATATTTTATGAAAAGATGAATC